TTTTTTAATTATGAAAAATTAGCTAAAGCGTATGCAGTGTTTTGTAAGTCCAAGCCAGCCACAAATTGCAATTATTAAATTTTTTTGGAGCTATTTTAACGGGTTTTACCAGCTGCAAGGTTCACTGTCTGCCGGATTGGCTAGCTGCCTGGCCGCTTGGCCGCTTGGCCGCCTGGCCTGACTGCTTCTTAATTTCACACCGACGCCGCAGCCAACTGGCGAATGGGTTTTTGCGGCGCTTTTAATGCTCATGTTTGCCGCCACGACGACAAAATCCAATTAAAGAAATTATATTTACACAAACAGAATGAAGTGTAAGAAAAACCTGGTCACATTTGCGGCAAATTGTTATTAAAAGCCATTACAAAGAAAACTAGCAGAAAGCCAGGCAGGCGAAAGGCAGGGCACTTAAAACGTTGACGCCTCAACCACATTGCCAAGTTGCGAAGTATTTTCTCAAGCAAGTGGTTTGCTAAGGATCTATGATTGTTTTCAGAGGATGTGCTGTTAAAAGCAGGAAACGTGCAGCCACATAAATCCACATCTACACATGCTTAGCCTGAGAGATGCTTAACAAATTTTTTAGCGTAATTCCAATGAAAACACACACTGCATTGAGATACCAGATACAAGATACAAGATACTTTTCACTGCCCGCTGGCCGCTAGCCGCTGGCTGCTGGCTGCTGAGCTCTGGGCTCATATTGTATAAGACAGAAGAAGGTTGTGAAAACAAGTTGCTCAAATTACAAGAGTTTCGCCTCTTTGTCTCGCCAGCTCTTCTGCTTGTGTTTACTCACAAAACCATGGAGCTATTTGTATCTTGTATCTCAAGGACWTACATACATACATGTGGGTGGAAGCGAGCTGCTTAAGTGCATTATGGTATGGATTACGCCAGAGCCAAAGGACAAACACATGCGCTGTTCAATGTATTAATGCTAGGGGATTACAAATTTATTTGTAACAAGAAAAAAAAACATGAATGAAATTCTAAAAATATCTTAATCAAAGGTAGTTCAAGAGCAGACAAGTCAGTATCTCTAGCTAACATAGTTTATCTCATTATGATTCACACGTCATACTTAATGTGAATTTCATTTGTGGACACATCTGATTCATGTGCAAAGACCAAATAGATAAAGATCAGAAACCACACATCATCCTCAGGTGAGTAATGAGGCAGTCAAAAGTATTTCAAAATATTGCCTAACTGTTAACTGTATTAGAATATCAATCGATTTATGTGTATCTACAGCATACTAAGAGTCTCTCAGGTGCTTCATTTAATCTGCGTTGAATCCGACTCTGATAGACAGCATAAATTGTGTCTCTAATTACCATTTAGGGAGCCCAGTCGAGAGAGCGAGCACAATTTGATTTCTACCTTTGGCCGTCATAAAACTGTGAAAAATGTCCAGCAGCCCATAAATCTAATTTGGCTTTGGCTCTTTTATGACGGCCATGTACCGGATCATTTGAAAAACAGAATTGGCAAATGCTATTCATGATGATGATGGCGCTGGGCTGGGGCTATCTAAGCGCCCAAAACGAAAAGTACTGCAAATCCATTTACACACCTGAGCGTAAAATAACAAGCCTGAAAGGACACACACAACAATGCCAGACATTTGAATACCCTATTAAGGAGCTTTTAAATAATTTGAATCGTATATATTCTATATTAATTTGTTTGAATTTCTTTTGTGGATTTCTTCTCTTCATTTTTCAGCAAGACTTAAGAAATAAATTCTGCAGATTTGATTATCTTCTGTTTGCCCAAATTACTCATTCAGTTATCGACAGGTCACAGGGTATTTTTCGAAAAGTTAAAAGCCATTCAACTTGGCCGGCAATAAAACGGCAAATGCGAGCGCGAAAAATGTTCAGCGTGCGCACAGAAAATTATTTTATGATGCTTTTAAACTAATTTTGTGGAAAAAACAACGTGCGAAGGCACTCAAAATTTGGGAAAAAACAGTTGACGGAACGCGTGGGCACGTAAAAATTTTATTTACCTGCAGCCAAAATTCGTGGGGCCAGCGAGCGTGGCAGTCGCGCGTTAGCCAAGTTAATGCCCACATGCGGCGGGCGTAACAGGTTAGGTTTGCTTGAGCAGACTCAAGGACTAGCGGACTGCGGATGCTGAACCTACGGCCTTTGCCATGACGACTATTTCGAGGTTCTCATAGTTTAGGTCACGAACTAGTCATAAAATTAGGAAACAAAAAAAGGAGAGGAGAAAAGACGAAGGTAAAGTTCCTCGAAGGACTCGAAGGACGCAAATTTGTCGCTTAATTTTCCAGACACTTTCGCTTGCCCTTGGGGCCGTATCTTGAAAAGGACATCAATCTAAATTACATGCTCGGGCCATTCAATTTAAAATTGTAAGCCGTCTTCGACTTTGTGACTTTGGAGCAATAATACAAATATTTTCTTATATGCCTCGACATTCAGCAGACAAATTGATTTATCCGAGTTGCGTTCCATTGATGGATCTGTGCATTGTTCTTGTGATTGTCCTTGCGCACAGGAAGTGAGCAGTTGCAACACTTTGGCCGAGCCTAAGTAAATTGACATGTTCTGCTCCATAATGAAGCGATCAGTGGCAGACGCAGGCCACATTCCGGGCCAAAGAAACTGAGGCTCTGCCTACGCCTATTCATAAATTTCGGCACAGCCTGCTGATTTGTCAGCATTAGAGAATTGGGCAGGATTGACACTGACAGAGACTGGATTTTTGGTAACTGGCAAATGGATGACAACGAGCAAGGACAACGGCGTGCTATGACGCAGGTAGCGGCAACTAGGCATCCCACTTATTCGCATTGTCTCATCTCTCTCAGCTCAGCTTCCAGCTCTAGGCTATTGTTCGGCTCAATGCGCATTTTGCGAGCGTCTGTCTGGCCGGGCTGGTGTGTGTTTGCTTTTGCTTTTTTGCAAGTGACAGGCAGCTCAGCTAGGCCAGCAAATGGCAAGCGTGAACATAATTATGGTCCTCAATCTGTTCTCAGAATTTTCAAGCAACTTCAACTCCAACGCAACAGCCGCACACTGTGCCGTCCAATAAAACTCTATTCGTTGATACGTGGAATTATGCCTGCTGCTTGGCAGGACTCATATTGCTAGAGGGCCATAAATTAGAGACGAAGCCTCGCTCAAGTTGATAGAGCTGCTGTTCCTGTGGCGCAGAAGAGGAGTCCCCAGCGTGCGAGGCAGGTTGATTCAAGTATCAATGACTGGCTCTCTTGATATATTTAGTTTATCTGCCTCTCATTCAACATCTTATGCTATTTCTGTTCACTTTCACTGTCATTATCATTATCATGCCAAGGTTTGCTTACCTTTTGGCCTCTATTTACCCAACAGTAGCCTGTCCGTGACATATAATGTCTCCGTTTTTTTTTTTTTTTTTTTAGACGACTCATGCCAACACATTTCCTTGGCAAACAAGAATGTAATTTCCTGTATTATTTATTTACTTTTAAGTAGTGCTACGACACACAGACATACACACAATCATAATTCTCCTGCTCGGCTCCCCGGAAAACTGGCGCATCATGCCGTGGAAAATGTCCTGACAGCCGAACTCATTCATAAATCAAGGCAACATCGATTGTTAATTTTCGATACATCCTGAGCATGTTCTTATTTATTTTTATACTTTTTGTGCCCTTCGAGGGAAACCTCTTAAGTGCTTCTAGGTTACTAAAAAACTGCTTCCTCATGGTTATTTCAGCATGAATGTATTCGGAAATATGATAGTCGCTGACTGCGAGCTCTGGACAGCTGACGAATACTGAAATGGAGTGGGCTGTGGGTACTCCTTGTGCTTCCTGCAGTTGCATTTTTTATGACCTTGTTATCTTTAGAAATATTTGAAGTGGGAGTAAAAATTTGTATTAATAAGCAAATTGGTTCAAGGAGGGGGAGAAAGTCTTAACCAAGCAATTTGTAAGTGGTTTATAACTCCATA